AAATTTTATTTATTTATTTGACAGAGAGAGACACAGCGAGAGAGGGAACACAAGCAGGGGGAGTGGTAGAGGGAGAAGCAGGCTTCCCACGGAGCGGGGAGCCCGATGTGGGCCTCGATCCCAGAACCCTGGGATCATGACCTGAGCCGAAGGCAGACGCTTAACGACTGAGCCACCCAGGTGCCCCTTGGGGTTTGTTTTAATACACAATATGGAAAGAGCTGAGATGTTCATCAACAGCTGAATGGATAAAGATTGGGTGTATAGATACAATGGAATACTACTCAGCCATCAGAAAGGATGAATACTTACCATTTACATCAGCGTGGGTGGAACTAGAGGGTATTGTGCTGAGTGAAGTAAGTCAGAGAAAGAGAATTATCATGATTTCACTGATATGTGGAATTCAAGAAACAAAACAGGATCATAGGGGAAGAAGAGGATCATAGGGGAAGGGAGGGAGAAATAAAATAAGGTGAAATCAGAGAGGGAGACAAACCGTAAGAGACTCTCTTTCTTTTTAAAGATTTTATTTATTTGACAAGAGAGAGCACAAGCAGGGGGAGCAGCAGAGGGAGAGGGAGAAGCAGGCTCCCTATTGAGCAAGGAGCCTGACATGGGGCTCGATCCCAGGACCCTGGGATCATGACCCGAGCCGAAGGCAGACGCTCAACCGACTGAGCCACCCGGGTGCCCCCATAAGAGACTCTTTTTTTTATTTTTTAAAGATTTTATTTTATTTTATTTTATTTTGACAGAGAGAGACGCAGTGAGAGAGGGAACATAAGCAGGGGGAGTGGGAAAGGGAGAAGCAGGCTTCCCGCCGAGCAGGGAGCCCAATGCGGGGCTCATTCCCAGGACCCTGGGATCCCGACTTGATCCGAAGGCAGACGCTTAAGGACAGCCACCCAGGTGCTCCACCATAAGAGACTCTCAATCACAGGAAACAAACTGAGGGTTGCTGGAGGGGAGGTGGGTGGGGGGATGATGGGGTAACTGGGTGATGGGCATTAGGGAGGGCATGTGATGTAATGAGCACTGGGTGTTATATGACTGATGAATCACTAAATTCTACCTCTGAAACTAGTAATACAGTATTTGTTAATTAATTGAACTTAAATAAAAAAATAAAAGTAGTCTAGTGACCTCCTAAACCTTGGCAGATAGATGACACGGTTATATTCAAACTGTAAGTTGGCAGATGTACATGGGATATTAGCTGTTCCTGGTCCTTGTGATTATGATGGTGTTGACGTAACAGGACTTGTTGAGGTAGATGCTTCACAGAGGGGCAGACCGCTGGTGCTGGGATCAGAAACTCCTCTGGGTTCCATACACATTTGGAGCAACTTAATTCTGCCTGCAAACTAGATTGCCAGAAGGACATTTCCCTTCTGTATGTTTGGCTCCTGAGTCCATCCTTGCTCCAGTAACGGGGTCAGGGATGTGTACTAGGACATCCCATGGATGTTGGGAGCCTTGAGTAGAGCTTGACACTCAGCAAGTGTTCACATCTTGGGTGAAGATGATAGTCTTTCTATCGGGGGTATTTGTTACCGGGATACACTAAAGAGAGTCGCCCTTCCAGCCCCAGAACCCCCTTGTAGTCGTGTTCGGATATACCAGCTTTTTCTTTTACTGTGTCTAGCTCCCCCCTTGTGTCCTGGAGGAGCCAGTGATTCCTAAGGACATATATGAAGTTGCCGTCTCCCTGATCCAGATGTTCGATGACTTGGACGTGAAGGAGAGAGGGTAAGAAACACTCTGCCTGGCAGTGTGCTTGAAGTATGATTTTTAAAAATGTGGTATTCATTTAGACACTTTTTAGTGTTTTTATAATGTTAAGATATAACTGTAGATACTTTTTCCAGTAGTCATTGTATATATTTTAAAACAGTGTTAGTACATTGCAATTTTTTTTTTACTGAACATTTCCACTTTAGTTAAAACCAAGTACAGTTTTAAGACTGGCAGTTTTAAAAGCCAGAAATCACAGCCTGAAGAGAGAGTGGTTTCCAGACGTACTGAGTCCTGTCACTCCTAGTCTGAGGCAAAATGGAAGGGACCAGGCTAGGAGAAGCAGTTGAGAGCCTTTCTTTGCCTTCGTTTGTGTTTGTCAGGAAGATATGCTCCTGACTCACAGCAGGCTCCTTTGTCATCCAGTCTTTCGCTCTATGTTTAGCTGGACCTTTGAAACCAGGAACCTATTTTCCCTTAGGAACAACTTCAGGTTATAAGTGGTGGTTAGAGTCTGTAATTTAAAAAATGTACTGCTTTCTGAACCTTTCTGTGCTCATTGTACTACAGTTCCTACATAGAGTTTATCTGTCATAGCGATGGACACCGAGGACGTAGAGTCCCCCTCCTCACGACAGCCAGAGTGTGAGTGTGGGTAGCTGGTGGTCTTACAGGCCTGACACACCCACCTGTGCCTCTCTCCTTTTATGTTAGTTGCTAAGTGTAAATACCTGTGAAGTGTGAAGTTACTCGTGCTCTTACGTTCCTCCGGAGCATGGCCTGACAATGAGTCCGCTGTAACCCAGTCTCTTGCCCCTCCAACCTGCTTGCACTTGCCTAGTATCGTAGCTGTGTTTCTGAGCTCCCACCGATGTTTGTTATGTTTACATTATCAGTGTGTTTTGATTTACCCAATATATATCATTTTATTTACTCGTTACTTTGTCTTACATCTTAGACTTTCCTTAGATCATTTTCGTTCTTCCTAAAGTACATCTTTCTAAAGTTTTTAAGGGTCTGTTGGTAAATGTTCTTAGTTTTTATTTTGCCAAAAATGTCTTTATTTCACTCTCATTCTTTTTTTTATTTTTTAAAGATTTTATTTATTTGAGAGAGAGAATGAGAGAGAGAGAGAGCATAAGAGGGGAGAGGGTCAGAGGGAGAAGCAGACTCCCTGACGAGCAGGGAGCCCGATGCGGGACTTGATCCCGGGACCCCAGGATCATGACCTGAGCTTAACCAACTGAGCCACCCAGGCGCCCCTTTCACTCTCATTCTTGAAATAGTTTTGTTAGGTGTAAAATGTAGGTGGTTCTTTCTCTCCTTATTTCTGCTTTTTCTAATTTTTTCATTTAAATAACTTTAGTGAGATGTAATTTGCATACATTAAATACAGCCATTTTTATTTTTCCTTCTGTATTTTGATGATGTTTTCCCAGAGTCTGGCTTCTCTTATTGCAGTGAGAAGTCACCTTTTGGTCTAACCCCTCCTTGTAGGAATATCTGCCTTTTGGCTCCGGCTGACTTTCATCCACGCTCTTACTCTTAGAGGAACTATGGTGTGACTTCTGCAAGCAGGTGGGAGTTACTCTTCTGTGATCTTGCTTGAGGTTCGGCGGGCTCATGGAGTGGGAACATTGGTGTCTCTGAAGCTGCCTGACAACCTTTCATCCAGTAGAGTGAGCATTCACTGATGAGCCTACCACATGGATGGTGGTCTAATGTAATCATTTGTTCTTACTGCCTGGAATTATTCTATAAAGAGGAATTTCCCTTTTATTACCCTGCTTCTTCTCTCTGTCTTTCTTTTAATATCACAGTGCACTCATAGATTTTTTTCCCTTAAAAGAGACTTTATTTTTTAGAGCGGTTTTAGGTTCACAGCAATATTGAGGAGAAAAGCCCAGAGTTCCCATATACCCGTTCCCTGACACATGCACAATGTCCCCATCTTGCACTGGAGTCCTACCTTTGTTTTAAATGACACATCGTTATCACCCACAGGCCATAGTTTACTTCAGGGTTCACTGTTGGTGTTGTACGTTTTGCGGGTTTTGACAAGCTTATGACAATGCATATCCACCATTGTGATACCGTGCAGAATAGTTTTACTGCCCTCAGATCCTCTGTGCTCTGCCTGTTCTTCCCTACCCGCCACCCCCTGTAACCCATGTCAACCTTCTTAATTTCTCCATAGCTCTGCCTTTTTTGCGGTGTCATGGAGTTGGGAATCATACATATGCAGTCTTTTCAGATGGGCTTTTCCCCCTTAGCAATATGTATGTAAGTTTCCTCCATGTGTTTTCATGGCTTGATGGCTCATTTCTTGTTAGCGCCAAACAGCATTCCTTTATCTGGATGGACTGCAGTTTATTTCTCCATTTACCTACTAAAGGACATCTTGGTTGCTTCCAGGTTTGGGCAATTTGAATAAAGCTATTGTAAATATCTCTGTGCAGATTTTGTGTGGACATGTGTTTTCAACACCTTTGGGTAAATACCAAGGAGCATGATTGCTTGATCATGAAACGCAACTATGTTTAGTTTTGTAAGAAACCACCTAATTGGGGCGCCTGGGTGCCTCAGTTGGTTAAGCATCTGCCTTCAGCTCAGGTCATGATCCTAGGGTCCTGGGATCGAGCCCGAGTTGGGCTCCTTGCTCAGCAGGAAGCCTGTTCTCCCTCTCCCTTTGCCCCTCCCCCTGCTCATTGGCACTCTCTCTTGATCTCTCAAATAAATAAATAAATAAAATCTTAAAAAACCAAACACTTAAGTGTCTTCCCCTGTGGCTGCACCATTTCACATTCCCCACAGTGAATGAACGAGAGGCCCTGTTGTTGCACATCCGCACTGACGTTTGGTTTTGCCGGAGTTCTGGATTTCGGCTGCTCCATTTTGTTTGGTTACTGTCAGAGTGTTGTTGTGAATTATGAGCTTCAGCATTATATTGTCCCCTTCTTTGTCTTGCTTAATGCTGGGGGTCTGAATTCTACTTTGTCATGTTTCAAGATTGAAACCCACCCCTACTTTTCTTTGCCTCTAAAACCTTTGCGATCCCTTTATTTTCATTCTTTTTTAAAAAAGATTTTATTTTACTTATTTATTTGAGAGTGCTCAAGCAGGGGAAGGGGCAAAGGGAGAGAGAATCTGAAGCAGACTCTATGCTGAGCACAGAGCCCGACGTGGGGCTCGATCTCAAGACTGCAGGATCATGACCTGAATTGAAACCAAGAGTTGGACGCTCAACTGACTGAGCCACCCAGGCGCCCCTCCCCATAGTCTGTTCTAGAACATTTTCATCATCTCAAAAAGAGACCATGACCTTTTTGCTCTCTTCCCTCATCCTTCCCCTTCACCCCCAGCTCTAAGTGACCACTAGTCAACTTCCTCTCTCTGTAGGACCTTCATATGAAGGGAATCTGATCTTTGGTGACTGACTTCTTTCACTTACTGTAAGTTTTCAAAGTTCATCCATGTTGCAGCATATGTCAGTATTTTATTCCTTTTTGGGGATGAATAGTACTCAGTTGTGTGGATATACCACGTTTTGGTGATCCACTTGTGCATTGTTGGTGATTTAGGTTCTCTTTCTCCTTTTGTCTTTTATGAATAATGTTGCTGTGAAAGTTTACGTGCAGGTACTTGTGTGGACATTTTTCTTGTGTATATGCGTAGGAGTGGAATTGTTGAGTCATACGGTCACTCTGTGTGTGACCATTTGAGGAAGTGCCAGACTGTTTTCCAGGGCATCAGCATCGTTTTACATTCCCACCAGCACCTTAGGAGGGTCCTGATTTCTCCACATCCTTGCCACTACTGGTTGATATCTGAACTTTGCTTGTAGCCTTCCTAGTGGCCATGAGGTGGTAGTACATTGTGGTTTTGATTTACGTTTCCCTGATGACTAATGATGCTGAACATCTTTTTATGAGCTTACTGGCCCTTTGTGTATCTTCTTTAAAGATACATGTATTTATATTTAGAGACGTAAGTCCTTTGTCCATTTTTAATTGGATTATTTTTTTATTATTGAATTTTAAGAGTTCTTTATATATTCCAGATACAAGCCCTTTACCAGATACATGATTTGCAAATTTTCTCACATTCTGCAGATTGTGTTTTTATTTTCTTGCTGGTGTCTTTTGAAGCACAGAATTTGTAATTTTGGTAAAGTCTGATTTGTCTGCTTTTTCTTTTGTTGCTCATGCTTTTTGTGACCTAGCTAAGAATCCATTGCCAAGTTCAGGCTTATGAAGATTTATCCCTGTGTTTTCTTCTAAGAGTTTTATAGTTTTGGCTCTTTCATTTAGGTCTTAGGTCTTTTTTTTTTTTTTAAAGATTTTGTTTATTAGAGAAAGAAGGAGCAGGGGGAGGGGCAGAGGAAGAGGGAGAAGCAGACTCCCTGCTGAGCAGGGAGCCGGATGTGGGCCTTGATCCTGGGACTCCCAGGATCATGACCAGGATCATGACCTGAGGCGAAGGCAGACACGTAACCAACTGAGCCACCCAGGTGCCCTAGGTCTTAGGTCTTTGAATTAATTTTTATGTATGTGTAAGGTGAGAGTCCAGCTTCATTCTTTAGTGTGTCTGCTATCCATTTGTCCCAGCACTGTTGGTTAAAAGACTCTTCTTTCCCCATTGTATGGCGTTGGCACGCTTGTTGAAAATGAGTTGCGCATGGACGTATGGGTTTATTTTTAGACTCTAAATTCTATTCTGTTGATCTGTATATCTATCCTTGGGCTAGTACCACACTATCTTGATTACCATTGCTTTGAAGTAATTTTGAAATTAGGAGTGTATGGGTCTCATAACTTTATTCTTTTTTTTTTAATTTTATTTTATTATGTTGTTAATCACCATACAATACATCATTAGTTTTTGATGTGGTGTTCCACGATTCATTGTTTTCGTATCACACCCAGTGCTCCATGCAGTACATGCCCTCCTTACTACCCATCACCGGGCTAACCCATCCCCCCACCCCCCTCCCCTCTAGAACCCTCAGTTTGTTTCTCGGAGTCCATAGTCTCTCATGGTTCATCTCCCCCTCCGATTTACCCCCCTTCATTTTTTCCTTCCTTCTCCTCATGTCCTCCATGCTACTCCTTACGTTCCACAAATAAGTGAAACCATATGATAATTGACTTTCTCTGCTTGACTTATTTCACTTAGCATAATCTCCTCCAGTCCCATCCATGTTG